AAAAGGCCTTGGTTAGATATATATGTAATAAAATTTTCAGCTCTCTACATAAAAGTAAAGTATGAAAAATACTATTGACACGTTATTTCCAATTACTATGGGACACCCTGTATGGTACCCCATAGTCCCTTAAAAACCTAGTATGGGCATTAACTCTTTATATTACATGTCGTACTCACTGAGATCTATAAAATGGCAAATACCAGATTCGAAACGGTGACTCAAACTTGGGGACCTTCCCTCGTTAGTACGATCTACCTTATTCGCTATAGGTCTTAGTTAGTCACTTCGAAAAAAAATAGAGTCTGATGTTTTTAACCAATATCTTGAGATATATTGATTTTATGTGGACAAACATGGCTAGAAGATTTTCACCCATATAAAAAACGAGTCATATTCGATACTGAGATGAATAAGATTGATTTGATATCGAATAACAGAGCATCTTCCGTGGTTCAGTTCACTGCCACTCTTTTCTTTCTCTATCTGAATTAATAAAGCATTTCATATTTTTCAACATATACCTCATCTTCAATATCTTCATGTGTTCTTGATCGACTATTTTGAAGATTGAAAGTTAACACATCCTATTCTCTCCATGATCCAATTGAATCTTTATGTTTACAACTCAACAAATGCAGTGCTGAATTTTTTGAAAAATATGTCTGATTTATGTCATTTGATGATCGAAGCATCGTACATTAATATTGATGTTGATAGTCATGAATGGGCAGCGATTATTACTAAGTATTTGCCAAAGTTCAAAAAATTTCAAGTTAAAATGCAAATAGAGAGTGACAATGATGAAAGAGAAGAAGCTGTTGATCAACTACTCCAGTCATTTCGAATTCCCTTTTGGCTAGAAGAACATTAATGGTATGTTCGATATCACTGTGATCCATAGTTCTATTAAAAAAACATTCATTTATATACTGTGCTGTACGCCTTTATCGGATTTGGTTATGTTGTTGATTATTTGTTGAAATCTACTTGTATTGATGATGATAATAATTTGTCATATAATCGTGTACATATTCTTGATTATCGTCATTTTTCTTCATTTAAAGAGTCATCTCTACAAAAAATTCGCTTTTCAAATATCCATCATCTTACTCTACTAATATCTTTCGATAATCATTTTTGTTCTGTCTTTTTAAGACTTAATCATTTGATCTCTCTTAAATTAAAACTAAATAATAATACTCAATCTCAACTCCAAATATTGTTTGATCAACCATCTTGTCTCTGCTCACTAAATATCGATGTATGATCAGATCCACAAGTGCTTGAGATCGGATACACGAATATTTCTATTCGTCAACTTGATTTGCGTGCTAATGAAATACGTAAAGGTCAAACATAGTTTAACAGTGAGCAATGTGGTGTATTGATCCAATCATCTTTGGGCAAACAGTGTGAAGTACTCAAAATAAGAGTTGAAAATTGAATAAATATAATTCAACTTGTTAATATAATGACTAAACTGCGAGTGCTAAATGTTAAATGTCAAGAGGAGACTAATCATAAAACTTGTGATTCATTCTCGACAAACGATAAACTTATTACATGGTTAGAAGATCGTTTATCAACTACATGCATGATCACAAGAGATGTAAGATGTATTATTCAATTATGAATTCATTAATTAAATAGAAAGTATATTTAGAATATTATCTAGACATTTGTTACTTCTCTATAACAGAATTCTTTGCTTTTGTGATTTAATCAGAAAGTTTTATATTCTCTTTTTAATCTACTCAATCTCGAATGTAGTTTTCTTTTTTTTTCTTCTTTAATTTGATAATAAAAGGTGGGCGGTTGTTAAGGGCATAAATCGTTCTCCTACTCTCGGAATCGAGTTTTTATTACTCTCCTGGTCAATTCGAATATCTACAGTTCATTGGCGGTCAAATCAGACCTAATGATCTCATTTAGGTGGTATATACTTCGATTTCGAATATCCTTATATTCACTGAATATAAACGCACTGTCCTGTCCCGCCTCTCATAAAAAAATTTGATCTCATCTGAATCAATTTATTTCAAATACTTTCTCTTGAATATGACTTCCTTATTCAAGGCATATCTAATCATTTATTTTTACACCTACACCTTACTACAGCAAAGAACATGAATTGGAAATATAATTTTTGGTCGGTGAGCCTTTCTGGTCTATTTCATTTCTTCTCTCTCCGACATATACTATCTAATTGCTACGGATGAAGGTGTATGAAGATAAGAGGTAGAGCAAAGAGAATAGCATCCCTCTCACTCATCTCTAGCATATTTCACCTAGAATTTTGATGTCTTCTCTTTCCTATTTCTTTCATTTGGATTTCATTCGTAATATTCTCTAACCTTCATTCGATGTTTCACTTTCATACTAGACAATTTGTATCACTATCATCTGTTTTACTTGTTAACATTGAGATAATAGTTAAATAATGGTCACAAAAAAAGAGTAGATATATGTATGTCGTACTTGTCATCTGCATGACATGACGGAAGGAAAAAAAAAAGAATCAACCTATAAGCACATTTCGATTTTTATACTTATCCTCTGATTTAATTTACTGATTTCTAGCTATATTAAAGAACTAAATAGTTTACTGATTATTCATTTTTTTTTACTGACAATTCATTTATTTTACGTACTGATTATTTCGTTTATTCTACTGACCGCTTAAATGGTAATCATATAAATTATTTGAGGAAAGAAAAAGGACATACTAATAAATTCTAACTCATTGAAGAAAAATTACTATTCAATAACTCTAATTGAAGGAAAAAACGTTGCGTATTTGATATGATGAAATGTTTGTTCGACGTTGAAGTTGAAATGATGTTCTGTGATCTGATGATTCTAAGAAAAACTGCATTACAACACATGGAATATCTTTATTCGAAAAATTCTTGATAGCAAACTCAATTTTTCTCCTGTTTTATAATACGAAATTTGTTTTGGTTTTAACTCGATCTTATTTGAGAAAAAGATGAGATTAATGAAATCTGTCACATTGTCTATGAAAGTATCTTCCTATTTTGTTAGAAAAGATCGAGTAAAATTCAAAATGAATTTCATTTTATGAAACAAAGAAAAAAATATATTGGCAATGAGAAATTCATCCTTGACATTTGCAAAAAGGCTTTTAAAGGACTCTAACAAATATTAGACAGAGTCCACCGTCTAGTCGTCGAACGATTCTTAGAAGAATCTCTTCACAAATGTCAAGACATACATGTCTAAAAAAGATTGTATCTAGCAGCAAATTTTTTTTTTGCACTCTACCATCTATTTAAGACATACTTGATCTTTGTCATATTAGACTGTAAACATATCTTTGCAGAAATCTGAATCACAGTTTAATACAAATTAATGAAGTTCTTCTTCATTCTCTGAAAATCTACTATTACCATTAGGATCAAAAATATGTAATTAATGAGTGTAATATTTCTCTTGTTGGTATCTTTCTTCTCATGTCCATAATTCAAATATCTAGTCAAAAGCATAAGATTACTATTTTCATTTGATCAAGTAATTTAAAGGGAACTAATCATTGAAAACTACATGGAAAGTGATCGTCTTTTGTTTATTCTTTTCGGTATTCTTTTTGCTATTGTTGTCCTAGTCTCAACGATGTTTTCATTAGTTATGTTGACAACAATCATTTACTATTGGCATCCACATTG